AGAAGTTTTGGGATGTGCATAGGGATTTTATTCTTAGAAGGTCCTATTAATCTATTTTATCCTCTCCTAGTTGAAAGAGGAAGTAGAAGCTGCATTGAAGGCACTGGCAAAAAAGTAAGGCCTCATTAATCGATGGAATGCCAACTGACTCGTTTCAATTAACAGACGCCGCATTGGATGCACTCACCAGTCTCTGCCAGGAAATTTGGAGGACGGATGTCTGGCCAACAGATTGGAAGAGGTTCATTATTTGTTCCCATTGCCAATAAAGGTGATCCAACTGAATGTGGAAACTATAAAACAATACCATTAATACATCATGTGTGCAAAATACTGCTGAAGATCATTCAAAACCGGCTAGAATAGTACATAGATAGGGAACTGCCAGGAGTTAAAGCAGGATTTAGAAAAGACCATGGCACCAATGATATCATTGCTGATGTCAGATGGATCCGGCTGAAAGTAAAGAATATCAGAAGAATGCCTATTTTTGCTTTATTGACTATGCAAAAGCATTTCACTGTGTGGATGATAAGAAGTTGTGGCTGACACTGAGAAGACTGGGAATTCCAGAGCACTTGATTGTGCTCATGCAGAACCTATAACTGGATTGCTACGTTTAAAATTGAGAAGGGAGTGCATCAGGGTTCTCTATTACACCTCAGGTATTCTCTCTCCAGACATATTCAATCTGTATGCTTAGCAAATTATCAGAGAAGATGGACTCTATGGAGAAGATGGACTCTATGAAGAAGAAAATGGCATCAGGATCCGAGGGAGACTCATCAATAACCCGCGTTATGCAGATTACACAACCTTGCTTGCTGAAAGTGAAGAGGACTTGAAGCACTTATTGCAGAAGATCCTTCAGTATGAATTGCATCTCAGTGTCAAGAAAAACAAAAATTCTTACCACTGGACCTACAGGCAACATCATGATGGTTGGAGAGGAGACTGAAACTGTCAACAGCTTCATCTTGCTTGGATCTACAATTAACACCCTTGGTACCAGCAGTCAGAAAATCAGGAGACACACTGCACTGAGAAAATCTGTAGTTAAGGACCTCTCCAAATTATTGAGGAGTAATGATGTCAGTTTGAAGACTAAGGTTTGTCTGAGTCTTTATGATCACTTGCTATGCATCTGAGAGCTGAACAATGAATAAGGATGGCAGAAGAAGAAGTGATGCCTTTCAGTTGTGGTGTTGGAGAAGAGCACTGACGGCCCATGGACGGCCAAAAGTACAAATGTATCTGGGAGAGGGTGCAGCCACAGTGCTCTTTGGAAGTAAGAATGATGAGTCTTCGTCTCACAAACTTTGGGCATGTTGCTAAGAGGTGCTATTCCTTGGAGAGGGACATGATGCTTGGAAGGGTGGAGGGTAGGCAAAGGAGAGGAAGACCCTTGACCAGGTGGACTGATGAGGTGATTGCCACAATGGACTCTGATGTATCAGAAGTGTGAGGATGGCACAGGATTAACAGAATTCTGATCTTTTGTTCATAGGGTTGAGTTATGCTTGACTGAACTGCGCCTAACAAGAACATACATCAACTGCATTTTTACATGTTGCTATGTATTGCCTAGTCAAAACTGATTCATAGTTGACCCTCTAATTGGTTTCAGAGGCAAGGACGAGCTTTACTGTCTTTTTCCCATAGAACGGCTCGTGGATTTGAACTACATGCCTTTGGACTGCCAGCACAATTCCTTACCACTAAGGCACAAGAGTTCATATTTTTAATATTGTTGTTGTTGTTGTTATGTGGCCATCAAGTCGCTTGCGACTCATAGCGACCCTATGTATATAACAGCTCTAAACTCTGCTCTGTCCTGTGCCAACCTCATTGTCTCCGACACACTCATCCCGATTGCCCCAGTCACCGAATCAATC